AAAAATGTATTTATCAAGAATTAAAAAGTTTAGCTAACTAAGATTATAAGGGATTTTAAAATAATTACTAAAATATTGAGATAAATGATCAGATAAAAAGATTTATTCAAAAATAATAATAAATGGAAAATATAGTAAATAAGGTATTACCTTATAAAGATATAATCTTCTTTTAGAGAATCTATTATACAGTTAGAAATCAGCGAAATTGATTAACTCCCTACTGTAATGTTTAAGCTTACAATTAAGAAGAATTATTATTAACTTAAGGAAAAAGCTAAATTTTATATTCTATTTAACATCTTGAAAGATTCTATTAATAATTTTTATCAATTTTTTATCATCAAATTAACCTTATAAATAACTATTACAACCATAACCTTTATATTTTTATAAGTTATCCTTTACATCATTTGATATTAATTCTAACTTTTCTTTGAGTTTATTACAACTCTATTTAAATTAATTTTTTAATATTTCTTCTATAGTTAATCATTTTATGATTATATCTTTATACTTATAATTTTAATCTTTGTATCGATTAATATTGTCAAAATCAGTATCAAAGATTATATATTGATAACAATCAACTTTATTCTTTACAATTAAATAATTCTAAATATTTTTTGTAATTTTCGCTTCTTAAATGATTAGGCAAGAATCCTGCCTAATTTTAGCGAAATAAAAATATTTGATGTTATTCGCCTTTTTAATATAAAAATACAGCTTAAAAAGGTGACTTTTTTCAATATTTATTGAATATTAACCTAAAAATAATTTTGGCCTTTTTTTGGATTATTCTTGCAATATTTTCAAATAGTTTAATCATTAACATCTAGGTTGTAATATTATATTTCCAAAAGGTTCCTCTCTGTTATTTATGTTGTATCTTACTACCAAACTAAAACCAAATAAAGAAACAGTACAAATTAAATATATAAATAAAAAAAATTTAATAAAATGATGCATAAACGAAAAAAATCTTACTGATTTTTTCATCATACTCTCAACATATGGCATTCTTAATTCCTAATTTTTATGCAATAAAATAGGTTTCTTGTAAGTTGATATGTATTGAAAAGATGTATCTATAGCCTTGATTGCTTAATATAAATTATTCATTGATCGAAGGGCTCAATACTAAACCATTATTTAATGTATTGGAATTATATTAAATGGCTAGCTTTACAAAAGTGAACAATAGAATAGCAAAAAGTAGATATAGCAGAATTAGTTAAAATTTCTGAAGAAATTTGTGAGGTAGAATAGAATATAAAATTTGGTCATTTTAGAGTTATTGATTACATAAAAGAAAAGTCAGCACCTTCCAAGCTTTATTGAAACATTTACTAATCTATTCAATTTATTCGATATAGATATTCTTTATAATCAATTTATATTTTGTAAATTACTCTATGATTTATTTGGTCTATCTTTTTTAAGTAATTATTTAGCTTATTTGTTCTGATTGATAGAATCTTAAATAATTTTAATTTATGTTTTATCTCTTTTTGCCAAATATTTGGTGCATAACCCTCTTTTTTAAACATCTTTCTCATTTTCATCTAAAGCTACAATATCTTCACAGTGATCTGAAAATTTTTCTAATCTCAAAATTTTTATCAATAATTTTATTTTTTATGTGTTTAATTAAAATCAATTAAACCTTAATAAAAAAATTTTTTGATAGATTTAAATAATTGTATAATGTAATAATTTTATTCAAGTTTTATTGTTGGAATTTTATATCTATTAAAGTTTTGTTTTGCTTAACTTATTCAAACACATTTATTTGTATCGATTCAAAAATATCTACTTCTCAGGAATCTCTCAAAATTCAGAAGAACATAACATCCATGCGTAAGTTATCTGTGAAAATTGTGAATTTTGGTATTTATTAAAATCTATATAAACTACTCATAATGTTCTAGATGTTACATAGTATATTTATCAACCGAATTAAAGACTCAATTCAATACATGAACATAGGGCAACACCTTTTCATCCTTATCTTTATGTAATCATAATAAAAATATAGATTGGAATTTTAAAATATTGTATTTTCATACTTCTACTGCTCCTTTTCCACTTTCCTACTCAATGTACCTTATTATCTCTTCTTCTGCCTATTTTTATCAAATGTTTTAATCTTTACATCTTATCCTCCATTATTTATTATTTGCTCCAAACTATACTACTAACAGACTACTGATAGTGCCATGCAAACTAATTTAAGACCTCTTTTAATTTATGATCTATTATCTATTTAAGTATAATCCTCCTAACTAACTAGACCACCGCCATATTATTAAACAC